TCCTAAATGACATCTTAAATGAAATCTGAAACCTTAAATTCTAAGTAAAACCCGAAACCCTATGCCTAAGTTAAAACCCTAAATAAAACTTTGAAACTCTAAACTTACTTAAAACCCCAAATTCATCCTAAATTTTTAAAGATTTATGTGAAAGCTTTTTATGAAATAATTTATTCTAGAATATTGCTTAGATGATGGGATATTTAAGAAATTTTATTTTATAAAAAATTTTCATATATTTTTGTATTTTAAAAAAATAAAATTAAATAAAAAATAAAAATGAGAAAAATAGATTTTTAAATATAAAAGTCACACTCAAACTCTATCTAGGATTGAAAAGTCTAGGTGATTTTTTTATATTTAAGAACTCGATCTTAAATTCGCATCTCATCATGATTTAGGATACACCATTATATCCATATTTGCATTTATTGCTTATATATATGTTTATTTTTAGTTGATGTTTATGGTTAGCTATTTAATTAGTTAATTATTTTTTAAAAATTTTTAAAAGTAAATAAAAAAATAAATCAAAATAATATTCTATGAAATATAATTTTTGGTACTCTACCTAGATGTTAGAGAGTCAACATAATTATTATTTTCAAAGAATATTATTTTTATTTTCAAGAAAGTGTTGTGGTACCAAATAAAATAAAATAAAATGTATTTATAGATGACACATTTCATTTATTTAAGAACATACACATGTCAAAATAATAAATCTTCCACATTAGACAATTTTCATTTTTGTCTAAGATTTTGATTTTTATATATTTATATAAGATAAATTTGGAAATTTGGAAAGACAATAAATAAAATTGAAATTTAATCTTTCAATAATAATTTAAGTTTAAATTAATTTCATTATTTTATTTAAATATATAAAAGGCAAAGTCTTTGGTAAAAAAAAAAAACTTCCAATATAAAATGATTTATATTAGTAACATGTGGATGGTCTTAAAAAATGTCATGTTTCCTCTAATAAATGTATTTTATTTTATTTTATATATTTTTAATTTAAAAAATAATTCAAAAAACTAAATTGATTACATTTATTTTTTATTATTTACCTTAAATTACTCTCATTAAATTCATATGAAAAGTATTCAAACTTTGATTGCAATTATTAATAAAGAAAATAATTTTACGTCTCTTTTTTTAATTATAAATATTTAACTCTTGAATTATATTTATTAACAAATATACTTTCCAAATTTTTTAAAAACATGACCTACTACTATACATATATATATTTAATATATTGATTTTAAAATAATTAATAGATGATCAAATTAATTAAAATTAATTTTAGTATATTAAATCAAATTAATTTTATTATCATTATTATATTAATTTCAAAATCTCTTTTTTCATTCCTTCTAAATGTATTGGATACACATTATACTTGACTATTTTAATTATCAAGCATAAATTAGTCTCAATTTAAGACACTATTACTCTTGATTTGATTCTTAATTTATTTTAGTTAATTAATCATTTAAAAATAAATGTTAATAATGTGTTTTGTAATAATGAAATTAAGATATTTTAAATTAAACTTATTTTACTATTAAATTTTAAATTTTAAATGCATAATTAATTTTAAACACATGTCAATTTTTTAGATTGTTCATATATAAAAAATGTAGCTATTCACATCAGATTATTTTCTTTTTGTTAGAGGTTTTAGCTTTTATATATTTATATAAAATTATTACGTTTCAAAGCCTAGAAATGTAGCATCCGAATAGGATATAAAAAAATTTAGAATCAGCTATTGCATTTTTATTCAAAGAAATGCAGTAAATATGACAATTATTGTGTTTTTAAAAAACTTGAAATGCAGTATTAGATTACCCATTAAAAAAAAGATAATGAATAATTATTGTGTTTAGCTTCAAAGAATCGCAATAATTACTATACTCATAATAAATGCTACGTTTCTATTAAACTAAACACAGTAATTGCCATACCCATAATAAATACTCATTAAATAAAAAACCATTAAGTCAAACAGATGAAAAAAAATTAAATGTCAAATACTGTGTTTTTGTTCAAAGAAACGTAATAATTACCATACCGATAATAAATACTTATTAAATAAAAAACCATCAAGTCAAACAAATAAAAAAATATGAGATATCAATACCGTATTTCTATTCAAAGAAACGCAGTAAATAATCACAATTATTATGTTTTTAATCATACAAACGTAGTATTTGAGTGAAAAAAATATAAAGAAAATTTATGAGTTATCAAATATTACGTTTATATTAAAAAAAAAAAGTAAATAATCACAATTACTATGTTTCAAAGCTTATAAATGCAATATTAGAGTGAAAAAATATAAAAAAAGTACTCAATTTACAAAATTTCCATAACAAAAGCAATTCACAATTACTTGATTTTTATATGTTGATTTTCATAGGGATAAAATAGAAAGAAAACATTTTTTATTCAAGTCAAATGTGGGACAACAGTAACTTTCTTTTCGAAATCTTTAAAACCCATAGGGAGAGACAGATTTATGATTTTAAGATTTTTTGGTACTATTGAGAATCTAAAATTACCTTAAGATCAGGTATCCATGAACCAAATGTGAGAGTTACATTCCCACAAGCAAAATTTCAGAGAAAAATTTCAGTTTCTCTCAAATCAAATGCTCCCATAAAAAAAAAAATAGGCTTAAGTTACACCAATCCAAATAAGCAATAAAAGTCAAATTATTAAGATAACAACTATTATAGTAATTATTTTCGTATTTGTAACAAGTAATTCTTTGCATGAATATTTGAGCTAATTCCATTGGATTATATATAGAAATATAAGGACATGTCTGGTGTATATAATGATGGATATGATAGGATTATAATCATCTTATATTATATTTGATTTGTATTTAAGAAAAAAGATAGAATTACAAAAAGGATTAATCAACCTCTTGGTATGGAATGATTCAATTCTCAAAGTGGAAAGAATCATTTTTAATTAATGAGATTGAACTTACATTTTTTATTTTATATTTAAAAATTACATCACTAATTTAAATTATATAAACTTTGAGAAAAGATAATTTTGATAAATAAATAAATTATCTTATCCTAATCCTTACATAAATCAAATACAAGATAAGATAATATTATTTAATTTAATCATATTCATAATATCATTTTATTCTATTTTATAATAATCTTGTGCATTAAATGCATCCTAAATGGGTAAAATATGGTGTGAGTAAGATATTTTTTATTTTTATTTTTAGATTTTTATATTATATTAATTCTTATACTCATATTCGATGAGTATTTTAAATTTATCATTCATTATATTCTTGCAAGTATTTAATAAATACAGATAATTCACATATCCATATTTAAAAAAAAAAACTAAAATTTATTTTTTTAGTTTTTATTTTTTATTTTACATATTTATATTATTTTTTATAAATATATATTAATATATATATTTAAAAATATATTTTATTTTAATTAATCTAAAATAAAAATTTATATTATTTAATAAAAAACTATTTACTAAATATATATATATGATATATAAGGTATAGGTAAGGAATCAATAAATATTATCTGTTATTGCCTCTCATATTTGATAAAATATTTAAAATAATACTCATCTCCATCTTCAAAAGTTAATCCTTATTATCATTTCATTTAAATAAAAAATAAAATTTCTCATTGAATATGAATAAACTTGACATATCTATTTATATGGTTATTTTTAAAAAATTTGATATTTAAATATGATAATTTATAATATTATTTTATTTTTAAATTACAATTTTTTTATAAAAAAACTCTAAAACTATATATCTAATTACATATTTACTGTGGTTATTGGTGACAGTTAAGCAATTATCCTTCATATATATTCTCCTTTCATCTTCTACATAATTTGACACCAAAGTTTTGTTTTGTCTTTTTCATTATTTTCCTTAAATTTGCAAACTGAAAAGCCAAATTTAAATATCTTTTAGCAAAACCCAAATTGACGTTAATAGAAACAAACATTTTTTTGCAACTAAAAATTTAAAGCATCAAAAAATGGCGAAAATCATAAACAAACAACTGAGAAAATGTCACAAAGGCAAAGCCAAAGAAAATTGTCAATTTTATTATAGTATTGATGCAGAAAACCTAGGCTAGTGATTCATTTTCCATATACAGTCAACTCACCTACACTATTCTGCAGCAAAATTTTTCCTTTTTTTTAAAAAATATAATTATTATACTTTTAAAGGTGTTCTTTTCTTTTTGTTTGTTTGTTTTTGTCATTGGTTTGCCAGTTGTTAGAATTACTGCAAAAAGCAAGATCTTTTACTTTGATCCTCTGTAAGAACACTGTAATCTTTCCTCCTTTTCTCTCCACAAGAAATTCCCACTTTTTTCTTAACCTAGAAATTCACAGTTACAGCCTCACAATAAGTTCAGTGAGATTTTCCTGCATTCCTGCATTCAATTCTCCCTCTCCTTCTCTTTCTCTCTCTCTCTTCTGCCACCGAATTAAACTAGCCACATGACGTTTTCATTGGGAACCCACCTTATTATTCTAATTATATATTATTATTATCATTTTGATAAATTATTATTAAATATTTCTTTTATTAAATTTTATCACATCATTTTATTTTTATCAAATTGTTATCATTTTATTTTTATTTTAATGCTTAATATATTATTTGGTGGGCCTCTCGAGGCAAAGAAGCCCAGGTGATACCCACTGCACACCCATCTGCTATTCTCCTTCTTCTTCATCTTAACTTATTATAAATAGTCACCCTAACCCCATTACATACACTTCTCTCAGTATCTCTCCACCCAAAAAAAAACACCTCACTTTACTCTTCACTACCAAAAATTCACTTCCCCCTTTAGCTTCCAAAAGGTTACTAAAAAATCCAGAAAAAAAAGGCCCCATTCATCTTTTTCTAAGGTGAAAGAGCTCATCTTTTTTTTTTTTGGGGGGGGGGGGGGTTAGCCATGGCTTCAATTCTTACTACTTGTTCGAGTGCACCACCAAGTTTTTACTTTGATGAGAAATGGAAGTTGTCAAAGAAAGAAAGTTCATCAAGAAGCCGCTCTTCATCTTCAGCATCTTCGTTCATGATCAAGAATTCTTCCTCTTCTTCTTCGAATAAAAGATGTGCTTTTACAAGGAAATGTGCAAGATTAGTCAAAGAACAAAGGGCTCGTTTTTACATCATGAGGCGTTGCATTACCATGCTTATTTGCTGGCGTGACTACACTGATTCTTGAACAAAATTCAAGAAAGAAAAAAAATGGTCTCTTTTTTCCTTTTTTTTTTTTTGAGATGGTTTTTTCCTTTTTGGAAGGTTCATTAGCTAGCAAGAACAGCTTTGTTTTTTGGTTTATTAATGGCATTCAAGCAAGCAAGCAATAAGAAGATATCAAGTTATATATACTTGTATATAATGTTTTCATTTTTTTTGGGGGGGGGGGGGTGGAGTTTTTTAGATTTTTTTTTTTTGTAACAGTCTTTGAATCTCCAATTAATGTGACTGTTTCTTTCATCAAATGATTAATATTAATATAAATAGAGGGAATCAAATTATAGGTTTTTCTTTTTTTTCTCTTCATATTTACAGTATTTTTTTGCTGTTTTCTTTTCTGGTTTTCTTCAAGCAAGGAGATCAGGAAGGAAGAGAGAGATTACATTCAACTGTTGCTGGTTAAGCTATGTGGATCGGGGTGTGGATTGCTGACACAGATTATATTTTAATTATTATTTTTCAATGACATTTTAATTTTTTAGCAGTTTTTAGTTCATTCAATTTTATAATGTTTGTTGTCACATTTGGACATGGCATCGAGGGAGTTTTTAATATTTTAACTCTCCCGGGATAACTTAAAATACCATTTTTTTCCTTTATTTTTTAACATTAATTGTATTATAAATATTAATACTAAACTCTTTTTCTTTCCTTATTATGTATTTATTTTGCAGGGAAGCTTAAGTTGTACCAAATTTACTCATAATTTATTTTTTAATTGAAGAAAAGAATTTTTTTTGGTATAAAACAAGTCGACAGACCATAACATAAAAAAATTGCAGGTATTAATCAGATATAATTTTATATGAATTAATTAAATTAAATTTTAATTAAAAAATAAATAAAATTTATTTCATAATTTTAAGATAAACCTCAAAATTAGATAAGGTCATTGAAATAAATATTTTTATAAAAAATAAAGGTAAAATTCATCCAAGTTTTTTAAATTTAGTCAAAATTTAACTTAAATTTATTACTTTTAAACATGAACATTTTTCTTTAAAGTTATCAATTTGTTGAACAAATCAATCCTATCCTTAAATAAACGTTAAAAAATTGCTACAGAATACAAAAAGTGTTCAGATTTATAATTAAAAAATTATTTAAGTTTTAACTTTTATTATAATCAATCAATCTTGTCAATATTTACTTACATTCAATTAAATTATTATTTGGATAAAAATATGAACGCCATTCATTTATCAGTAAAATATGACATAATTAATATATTTAAAAGTTAAATAAAATAATTTTATCTTTTTTTTCTCTATTTTCTCTCACATTCTCTTTTAAAAATCTTTCTAAAGTTCAATTAATTATAGTTTAAAAATTGATTAATTCAATTTTGTTATGTGATTAAATTTGGTCAAATTAAAATTTAATTGAATCAAAATAAAAAATAAAAAATTTGATTGATTGTAATAAAATGTTAAAGACTTAAATGATTATGAAATTATAATTCATAAACTTTTTTTTTACCTTTTAACCTTAAAAAATCTATTAATATGATGTTGTAGAAACTATTATGCATTTGAAAGCAAAAAAACTTTAAATACTCAATTCAAAAGATAAAGATTTGACATTTTTTACAACAGAAAATAAATTACGAATTTATTATTTTTATTCATTTCATTTTTTTGAAACAGAAAGATTAAGACAAGGATTTTCAGTTTATTTTCTAAAAAAGGAAAAAAGATATATATTAGAAAAAAACTTTTTATTTTGGTTATTTCAAATAAATTTTTTTTGTAGTTTTGTTAAATTTAATAACAATTTTTATTTTCATTTTTTAAAAAAAGACTGCATTATATACAATTCAAAAACATTTTTTAAAAGATAAAAAATTTGTCATTGTAAAATAAAATAAAAAATTAATTTTTTATTTAAAAAATGCTATTTTCCTTTATTTTATTTGTAATTTAAACACAAAATAATACAATATATTTAGATAATTTTATAATTGTTTAAATTTAGTTAACTGTGTTAACTATTTTAAGATGGAGGGTACATTTCTGAAATTAATGGACTTAACTTGAATTCTAACTAAACTTACAAAATTTGAATGAAATTTACCCAAAAAAAATAATGTTTTTCTTTTTGTTCCAGAAGTAAAAATCGATGAAAAGGAATTTTAGAATTTTGTATAATTTCACTGCTGCAACAAAGGTTGCTGGCCGGAGAAGTAATTAGGCACTATTTTCTATGTTTCTGTGAAAAAAAATCCAAATGATCATATTATACTGCAACTTTGAGATGGACCACTTTGACGTCCTATACTCTGTAGGGACATATTAGTAAATCCAAATTTATTGGTAAATGGTAGTAATTTATTTATGTTTTCTAGTTTTCGGTGTTAGTACATTATTTTTTAAAAAATTTTGATGAATTATTTTTTGATAAATAATTCTAGTAAATACGAAGAATCATGCAGCGTATTTCTGTTCAAAAAATTATTACAGCTGGGGTTCCCTGTAGTTATACCGTGGGTGGTCAAGGGTGGTGTTTATTAATGGATCTGACCAATGGCTTTGGATATCATAAACTTTCAGTACTAAAATAAGTAATCTACACTAAAGTTATTAAATTCTTTTGCCTGGCTATATCATATTAATATTATTAATTATTTTTTCAATCTGAAAAAAAAAATGGTTAGAATGGTATTAGCTTTGGGAATGAAAATATCGTTGGCACTCATTTGACATTTGTTGGTCAAATTCACAATCCCTCTGCTTCCCTCGAATTTGTTTTTCTACCATTAATATAATATATATTTTTTGATATAAAAATATTGTAATTAAAAATAAAAAAATTATAAATATTAAAATTTAAAATTTAATCGAATATCAAATTTTAAGAATAATTATATGAATTAATTAAATTAAAATTTATATTCTAATAAAATATATATTGTTATTACACTTTTCTCATCCATAAAACCTTATCTTAGATAAAAAAATCCCATCTCAAGATAAAGACTATCTCATCGTCGTCCACTTAAATTAATCTTTAAAACTCATTGTATTTTATATGAACAAAAGATCATTATGGGAATTTTAAGCAATTAGTTGAGGAATAAGAGTAATGAGAAACGAATTATATATATAGAAATTGATGATCGATGGATAATAGGTCTCTTTCAATATTGTTAAATAACAATGACATTTGAACTATTTGTTTGTGCAGAAAGGAAATGCCAAAAAATGATAACAATGTGAAGTTTTATAGCATGGTATAACTTTATAAGGTAAAAGGAATGTCTAATTCATGTTTTCATATAAAAGAAGAAAGTCTTTAATTTGAACATGATCATTTGAAATAATAAATTTTAATCAAGTTCGTTACATATCTTTATTTTAATAATCAATCCATCGCTTTTTTAATATGAAAAAATTAAAAAAATTTACTAGTATTATCATCTATCTCTATCATACAAGTTGATGAAAATGTTGAAAAATAAATTTAAGTGAATTAAATTTAAGAATAGATTAAAAATAATTTTCATTAATCACATCATTATACTAAGTCCAAGTTTCTTGATAGCCGATTTTGAGGTTATTTGGTAAGCACTTCTCACCTCAGTGTCCATTTGTGGGCGAGATAGGTAATGTCTTCTTTTTACTTTTGTGTTTCACTTTCGTGGATTTCTTTGTCTCCTCTCAATTTCTTTTGGGTCCTCCTCATAGATTTAGGTCAAAGAAGAAGCCTTTTTTTTTTATATATAAATTTTTCTCCCACATTTTCTCCATGGCATGCACTTTCTAGGCATTCAAAGAAACATCACTCAAGAACAAGATCAAGATTTGAACATTAATGATTGAATTATAGCTTGGCGTGCTAAATGGGGCCTGAAGAACAAAATGATAAAGAGAGAAGGAAAATAAAAAACACGCACAATAATAGCAAATTCCTAAACGGTAGTGTATAGGGTGGCCTAGACCTACAAAAGGTCAAAGAAAGAAAGTGGGAAAAAATATAGGTCACGCTACAAATCTTGACTTCAATGATTAATATCTCTGAATTATATTTGGATGTCGGATTTTTTGAAAATTACATTTGGATATGAATGGTAAATAACTTGCTTTTTGTTGTCAGTAGTGGTCTAAAAAGGTAATTAACATGGTTTTTCATTGTTTGATGGTTATTTGATATGTTGTTAAAATTGATATTTAAAAGTTATGAGAATAAAAAAATTTATTCATATAATATTATTTTTAATTAAATAAGTATGATGTTAAAAAATTAAGATAAATTAATTTTTTTTAAAAAAAATGATTTTCTAGTTTTTTGAGATTATAATGATCGGTTTATCAAGTTGTAATTTGGCTCAAATTTATTTGCAACAGTGACTCAAATCTTTCTTTCGTTTTGTTAATTGATTATGGAATCTTAGCTTGTGCCCTTAACCTATATAAAATATTAATTATTCATCCCATGAAGTCAAATTTTGTCTTTTATTTGGTCCCAAAGAGTATGAGAATGTACGATAAGCTATGAAAATAATTTTGAGCCACAAAACTTTTATACTAACCGAAGTTATGTTTATTAAGGAGAATGAAAAAGATTTTAATTTGATAATTAAAATTCATAAATATATATGTTATTTATATAGTTCAATAGTTGAATTAATTTTTCATATTTTTGACAAACAAAAATGTTAGAGAAATCTAGAATCTCAAAGAAATCTGAAGAGTCACTGGGACCAAATTTGGTAATGGAGTGATCCATAGTTTAAGGAAAGCTGTCATTATTGCATCCATTGCTGCCTCTCTATCCTTTAGATAAAGAGCCAATAGATTGGGTCCAAACCCTAACCCTAAAATCCTCATTCAAACAAAGTGTTAAACACTATTCCCGAGAGCCGAAATCGCAAACACATTTGTGGGCCTAGCCCTAAACCCTGAAAATTAACTTATATATTTATTATATAAGGAAAGCTATTAGGAAATAGGCAGAACCTTTAGGTTC